AAACTGAGGAAAAAAGGTGGAGAACTCCAAGAAACGATCAAGGGTATGTAGGAGCTCAACACAGATTTTAAAAAGGATTTACAGTAGAGACAGGAAGGGTCTTGGGGGACAGACCCGATGGGGACACCAGCAAAAAATACACCCCAAAAAGTGTTGGACGCTCGTCAGATGAGGGGTGGTGAAGAAAGCTAAAGGACATCGAACCTCAAAGGGAATGGGGGCCGGACAAAAAATCTCCCCATGGGTTCTTAGAGAGGGAGCAGATATGTTGTGCGTGCCACTTACCACAATCTTCAACACGTCCCTGGAAACTGGGCAACTACCTGAGCTATGGAAGACGGCAAATGTAGTTCCCATTTTTAAAAAAGGAGACAGAAAAGAGTCACTAAACTATAGACCTGTGTCATTGACGTGTATAGTATGCAAAGTTATGGAGAAGATTATCAGGAGGAGAGTGGTGGAGCACCTGGAACGGAACAAGAGTATAAATGCCAACCAGCACGGATTCATGGAAGACAAATACTGTGTCACAAACCTTCTGGAGTTTTATGATAAAAGAAGTAAGACATGAGAGAGAGGGGTGGGTTGATTGCATCTTCTTGGACTGCAAGAAGGCCTTTGACACAGTTCCTCACAAGAGATTAGTGCAGAAGCTAGAGCATCAGGCACATATAACAGGAAGGGCACTGCAATGGATCAGAGAATACCTGACAGGGAGGCAACAACGAGTCATGGTACGTAATGATGTATCACAGTGGGCACCTGTGACAAGCGGGGTCCCACAGGGGTCGGTCGTAGGACCAGTGCTATTTTTGGTATATGTGAACGACATGATGGAAGGGTTAGACTCAGAAGTGTCCCTGTTTGCAGATGATGTGAAGTTAATGAGGAGAATTAAATCAGATGAGGACCAGGCAGGACTTCAAAGAGACCTGGACAGACTGGACACCTGGTCCAGCAAATGACTTCTCGAATTTAATCCTGCCAAATGCAAAGTCATGAAGATAGGGGAAGGGCACAGAAGACCACAGACAGAGTATAGGCTAGGTGGCCAAAGACTGCAAACCTCACTCAAGGAGAAAGATCTTGGGGTGAGTATAACACCGAGCATGTCTCCGGAAGCACACATCAATCAGTAACTGCTGCAGCATATGGGCGCCTGGCAAACCTGAGAACAGCATTCCGATACCTTAGTAAGGAATCATTCAAGACACTGTACACCGTGTATGTCAGGCCCATACTGGAGTATTCAGCACCTGTTTGGAACCCGCACTTGATAAAGCACGTCAAGAAACTAGAGAAAGTACAAAGGTTTGCGACAAGGTTAGTTCCAGAGCTAAGGGGAATGTCCTATGAAGAAAGATTAAGGGAAATCGGCCTGATGACACTGGAGGACAGGAGGGTCAGGGGAGACATGATAACGACATATAAAATACTGTGTGGAATAGACAAGGTGGACAAAGACAGGATGTTCCAGGGAGGGGACACAGAAACAAGAAGCCACAATTGGAAGCTGAAGACACAGATGAGTCAGAGAGATATTAGGAAGTATTTCTTCAGTCATAGAGTTGTCAGGCAGTGGAATAGCCTAGAAAATGACGTAGTGGAGGCAGGAACCATACACAGTTTTAAGACGAGGTTTGATAAAGCTCATGGAGTGGAGAGAGAGACGGCCAAGTAGCAACCGGTGAAAAGGCAGGGCCAGGAGCTAAGACTCGACCCCTGCAACCACAAATAGGTGAGTACAACATGGTTTCAGAGACGGGAAATCCTGTGTCACAAACCTACTGGAGTTCTATGACATGGTGACAGTAGTAAGACATGAGAGAGAGGGGTGGGTGGATTGCATCTTCTTGGACTGCAAGAAGGCGTTTGACACAGTACCACACAAGAGATTAGTGCAAAAACTGGAGGACCAAGCAGGAATAACAGGGAAGGCACTGCAGTGGATCAGGGAATACTTGTCAGGAAGACAGCAGCGAGTAATGGTACGAGGCGAGGTGTCAGAGTGGGCACCTGTGACCAGCGGGTCCCACAGGGGTCAGTCCTAGGACCAGTGCTGTTTCTGGTATTTGTGAACGACATGACGGAAGGAATAAAAATCCGAGGTGTCACTGTTTTTCAGATGACGTGAAGTTGATGAGAAGAGTTCATTCAATCGAAGACCAGGCAGAAATACAAGGGATCTGGAAGGCTGCAGACCTGGGCCAGCAACTGGCTCCTGGAGTTCAGTCCCCCCCAAATGCAAGTCATGAGATTGGGGAAGGGCAAAGAAGACCGCGATGGAGTACAGTCTAGGGGGTCAGAGACTACAAACATCACTCAAGGAAAAAGATCTTGGGGTGAGTATAACACCAGGCACATCCTGAAAGGCACATCAACCAAATAACTGCTGCAGCATATGGGCACCTGGCAAACCCCAGAACAGCAAATTTCCCAAAATCTTAATAAGGAATTGTTCAGGACCCCGTACACCGTGTACGTTAGGCCCATATTGGAGTATGCGGCACAGTTTGGAACCCAAACCTAGCCAAACATGTAAAGAACTAGAGAAAGTGCAAAGGTTTGCAACAAGACTATTCCCAGAGCTAAGAGGTATGTCCTATGAGGAGAGGTTAAGGGAAATCAACCCGACGACACTGGAGGACAGGAGAGATAGGGGGGACATGATAACGACTTACAATAATACTGAGAGGGAATTGACAAGGTGGACAAAGACAGGATGTTCCAGAGACTGGACACAGTAACAAGGGACACAGTTGGAAGTTGAAGACACAGATGAATCAAAGGGATGTTAGGAAGTATTTCTTCAGCCACAGAGTAGTCAGGAAGTGGAATAGTTTGGGAAGCGATGTAGTGGAGTCAGGATCCATACATAGCTTTAAGCAGAGGTACGATAAAGCTCATGGTTCAGGGAGAGTGACCTAGTAGCGACCAGTGAAGAGGCGGGGCCAAGAGCTTGGACTCGACCCCTGCAACCTCAACTAGGTGAGTACACACACACACACATATCAAAGCAGGGTGGTCCAAAAAGAAAAACAAGAGTTCTTCTTTTTAACTTTAGTAATATATACAGGAGAAGGGGTTACTAGGCCCTTGCTCCTGCCATTTTAGTCACCTGTTATGACATGCATGGCTTATGGAGGAAAAATTCTTTTCCACTTCTCCATGGAGATAAGAGGAAAGAAACAAGAACAAGAACTAGTAAGAAAAGAGAAGAAACCCAGAGGGGTGTGTGTGTGTGTATGTGTGTATATATATATATATATATATATATATATATATTATATATATATATATATATAATATATATATATATATATATATATATATAATATATATATATATATATATATAATGTGTATATATATATATATATTATGCAATAAGATCACAGTAAACAGGTGATTTCAGAATATGCAAAACAACCACTCTGAAAGGGACAACCAGCCTTATTCAAATAAAAATATGTTGGTTCTCCCTTACCATGAAACTTGGTTGATATGCCTTCTCTTCTTATGACTTTTAATATTAAAGTTGTATTCCAAAAATCTCGATACAGTAAAAAAACTTTTGATAAAGAATTCCCCCCAAAATGCTGATGGATGTGTCTATAAGATTCCTTGTAAAACTTGCGATAAAGTTTATTACGGTCAAACTGGTAAAAATCTCGAACTAAGATTAAAACAACATAAATATAGCATTAGAACTGGACAAGATTCCAATGCTCTATTTATTCATGTAAGAGATTTTAACCATCCAATTGATTTTCAAAAGTTGAGAAAGTAGTATCAAGCAAGTCCATGGTCGACAGGAATATAATTGAATCTTGTTTCATAAAAAGCAGTTTTGACAATAATATGAATATTTCCTTTGGTTTATATAAATTAGATCCATTTATAATTAATAGAATTTGGGAAGAATTTAATAATACACTGGACAAATAATCTTTAAAATTTCTTATTTCTTGGGTAGAATAGTTTGTGGGGTGAGTTGTGCCAAGGACCTTTCCAAGTTGGCTCGCCGCGCGTCACGTGTTTAAACCGTTGTGGGATCTGATAGTGAGGTGCCGACCAGACCCCTTATATAGCTTCCTTGGATGCTTTACTTTCATAGTTCCTTGATAATGTGAGTAGTCACGAAAGCGCTTGGAATTTCTCTATTCTTTCAGAGTGGTTGTTTTGCGCATATATATATATATTATATATATATATATATATATATATATATATATATATATATATATATATATATATATATATATATATATATATATATATATATATATATATATATATATATATATTATATATATATATGTATATATATATATATGATATATATTATATATATATATTATATATATATATATATATAAAATTATGTATATATATATATATATATATATATATATATTTCAACACACCGGCCGTATCCCACTGATGTGGGGTGGCCCAAAAGGAAAAACAAAAGTTTCTCCTTTTACATTTAGTAATATATACAGGAGAAGAGGTTACTAGCCCCTTGCTCCCGGCATTTTAGTCGCCTCTTACAACACGCATGGCTTACGGAGGAAGAATTCTGTTCCACTTCCCCATGGAGATAAGAGGAAATAAACAAGAATAAGAACTAGAAAGAAAATAGAAGAAAACCCAGAGGGGTGTGTATATATGTGCTTGTACATGTATGTGTAGTGTGACCTAAGTGTAAGTAGAAGTAGCAAGACGTACCTGAAATCTTGCATGTTTATGAGACAGAAAAAAGACACCAGTAATCATACCATCATGTAAAACAGTTATAGGCTTTTGTTTTACACTCACTTGGCAGGACGGTAGTACCTCTCTGGGTGATTGCTGTCTTTGAACCTGCTACCTAGGATATATATACGTATATTTATTTATTTATGTATTTATATTGATTGTGTGCGTGTGATGAAATCATTCTTGCATGAAGACATATTACTGGATGGAAATATAATTCAGCAGGCCATTTCTTCCCAGTGGGCCGACCAGCCCAGAGTACAGCCCTCCTTCACGCCTGGGCTCCGGGTACCCTGGGGGCGGCGCCCCCTTCCAGCATCCACCCAGCATTGACGAACAGACTGAACCTGTGGACTTCTCTTCACCTGCTGAGCCAGTCAACTTCAGTCTAGCGAGGCCCCTGGAGTATGGGGTCACCCCTGATTACTCCAGGGCACCCACGGCCCCTGCCTGCCCGCCTCATGATAATACCTATGCCACCACCCCCGACAGAACCCACGATTTCAGGAATATGAATGGTAAGCTGGTGGTTACAGCCCATGCTGGGTGCTAGTGACCTCTTATACTGGGTCTTTGTAGGTATAAAGGATCCTAGTGACCCATTATGACCTTGGCCCTCCCTCCCATGGGATGGGTCATGGGCTGGTGGACTCTTGCAGAATTTTTTTTTTTCTGTTGGTCCCATGTTGAATCTCTCTCTCTCCAAAAAAAATACTGTCTGCACTTTCATGCTTCCCAAGGGATCTTCATCCAAGGAATTGGAGAAAGAATAAAATATCAAGTCCAAGTGTTACTTTGATTTACTAACATCTGATTACTTCTAAGACTTACTAACATCTGACTGTTACAAACATCTGTGTTTGAATGTTACCAAGACTTACTAACATCCGAGTCTTTTGACTCGCTCTAATCTAAATTTCTAGGTGTTTAATTTCTATTACATGTAAACATTGGAAACATTAAATATAATTTCCACTAACGTTTACTGATAACCCATTGTTTAGCTGATGTTTAACATCACAAACATTACCCTAAATTAATCTTAATGTTTAGGAACATTAATATACTCTGGATCATTGAGATAAAATATTAACATCTCAGTGTTTATAAAACATTTGTTAGTTGACCCTGACTAAACACTTGGTGTTTTGATTGGATCAAAATGTATGTTTTGTGTCTCTAAAGTTATAAATCTAACCCTATACTAGTCACTTATGATCTAATTCTAAATCCTAGTGACACAATAGAATTCTGTTAACGTCTTTGCTAATTCCAACTAATCCAATAGTAGCCTGCTATTCCAGAACAGGCAACTAAGCCATCCTAGCTTTAAACTAATCCCTCCTAGCTTTACACTAACCCTTCCTAGCTTTCATCTAGCCCATCTTAGATTTAAACTAACCACCTCCTAGCTTTTATCTAGCACCTCCTAACTTTCTTCTAACACCTGTCAGCTAACACCTAGCTATCATCTAATACCTCCTAGCTTTCATTTAACACATATCAGCTAACACTTCCTAGCTATCTATCAGCTAATGCCTAGCTATCATCTAATACCTCCTAGCTTTTTGCTAACACCTAGCTTTCATTGAACACACATCAGCTAACACTTCCTAGCTATCTATCAACTAACACCTAGCTATCATCTAATACCTCCTAGCTTTTTGCTAACACCTACCTTTCTTTAACACGCATCAGCTAGCACTTCCCAGCTATCAGCTAACACCTAGCTTTCATATAGCCTCTCAAATACCTTTAAATAAATTTTATTTTATACCCCAATTAAACCCATTAGACTTACTTTTCCTTATGAAAATGTGCCTTTCTTAGAACTTCTAATGTTATAACCCCTTTAAAACTCTTTAATAACCTTTTACAACCCTTTTATACCTCTTTTATATCCCTTTATAACCCTTTTATATCCCTTTGTAACACTTTAATAGCTCCTTATATCCCTTTTATAACACTGTATAACTATTTCTACCCATTTTATAGCCCTTTGTAACCTTTTGTAAATATTTACAACCCTTTATAACCCTTATAATACTTCATAACAATTTATGGCCACTTACAATCTTTTATAACTAATTTAGAGCTTTATATAACCCTTTATAGAGAGAGCTAACTGACAGCAGTAATGTTGACAAAGATTTCAAAACATGACTCACGAAATCGTAATGACACGATTGCAAACAAACCATACCCCGGCCGGGATTGAACCCGCGGTCAGGGTATGGTTTGTTTGCAATCGTGAGTAATGTTGATGGCAGTGAAGGGACTTGAACTAGAGTTCGTCACGGCCACGCTAGCTGGAGATTCGTCTGTAAAAACTTGCATTTGTGGTCACAGTGGTGCCTGTGCTAACCTTCCTATGGTGTAGAAATATAACTAGTTGGACGAATCTTATTGTGGCTAGCTGGTCTAGTGGCTAACGCGACGGTCTGGAGTTTTGAGACTCTCTGACCGCGGGTTCAATCCCGGCCGGGGTATGGTTTGTTTTCAAAACATTTTTATGGAAAACCCAAAACTATGGGCTGTTTAGTCTCTTTACCTGTGATCTGCTTTCTTTTAATCAGACAGTGCATGTTATAGAGGTTTTGGGCTTTGTGCAACTAAATTTTGACTTCTTTGTTAATATTATTGCTGTCAGCTCTCTCTGCAAATCAATGTCACCTAGTGCTAATATTGAATTATTTACTGATGGCTCATCATGCAGGCGAAATGAGATCTTTCTCGAGTCTTGAGGCAGTTTACATAAGTTGGTTATGAGAAAGGTGAGGTAGTGGTCCGTAGCATTGTCAGTGATTATACCTGTTTGTAGTGGAGATGTGTTGGTCAAGATATGGTCAAGTAATGAGGCAGTTGTCTCAGAGATTCTTGTTGGCTTAGTTATAGAAGGTAGTAGCAAGCAGTTGTTCATAGTGTTTGTAAGAAACTTTACCCCCTAGTACCACCCCTACTAACCCTTGGTAAGAAACCCCCTAGTACCACCCTCACTAACTCTCTGTAAGAAACTACCCTGTAGTACCAGGACTAACTGCCACTAACCTGGACTAACTACCACTAACCTGGACTAACTACCACTAATCTGTACTAACTACCACTAACCTGTAGTAGCTACCACTAACCAGTGCTAGCTACCACTAACCAGTACTGGCTACCACCAACCTGTACTAACACTAACCCATATTAAGTACAACCACCCCTACTAACCCCTACTAACCACTTACCCCTACTAACCACTAACCAGGCTACAACACCATGAGCAGCCGCCCCTATGACGTGAGTAGCGCCTACAACAGTGGCTACATGGGTTATCAAGGCTACCAGGGAGGCTACATGGCTACAGGCAGCTATGGTACTACCATGGGTGGAGACTACATGACTACCAGTGCTTGTACCACCCCATACCAGCTCTCACCCTCACGTTCACAACCCCCTCAGACGCCCATGCCAGACAGGTACGCCCACACCCCATACCCACGCCCACACTACATCTAAAGCAGTAGAGATGTGATGATGCAGTCAGTCCAAAACCCTTGAAGACATACATAGTTTTGAGGCTGTCAGTCCCTAGGGACTGCCTACCATGTGAAAAATCACGAAAGCACTTGTAATAGTACTATTTTTTCACTTTGGTTATTTTGCATTATAAAAATAAGTCAGAGGCTATACTAGCTAGACTCGTACTTAGTAAAGTCCATTATCCATAATCTCAGACTAAGTTGTTTCACAAAATCGCCAGAATGTTCATTATGCAGTGACATTTTTCAGTGATGCAACTTTAGTAGCTCTTTGGGCTTTCTAGAGTAGCTTTGTAGAGGTGTGCATGAGACTAGTGTTCCTCCCAGCTCTTGCCTGGGCTGCCTAGTGGGAGGTAGATCTGCATGAAGAATAAGGCACAATACCGTGACTGGAACAATACACAAATAACCCAACTCATAAAGCTTACAACGACGTTTCAGTTCAACTTGGACCAGGTTGTGTATACACCTGCATAATAGTGTAGTTTTACATAGGTAGACGTGTCCTGTAGCTTGATAAGGTGTCCCATAGCTCAATCGCTAGCACACTCGGCTCACACACTGAGGTCCAGAGTTCAAATCCCCAGTATGGCTGGAAAACACTTAAGACATGTTTCCATAAGACACCTGCTGTCCATGTTCACCCATCAGTATAAAATGGGTACCTAGGAGTTAGTCGACTGATGTGGGTCACATCCTGCGACAAAATTGACCTAATTTGCCCGAAAGGCTCTGCATAACAAGCAGCTTTCTACATAATAGTAGTTTGTCATTGATGTTAGCTATGGTCTGTATACCTTGTACATGTACCTGTAGAAATAAAAATCTATTATATATTATTAAGCCTGAATAGCAACAGACTTGTCACTTGTGGTACAATAAGTCAAGCTACACAGGCTTTCTAACTTTGTGGTTATGTATATATAGTTAGTTACACATGGTTAGGCATGGCTATGTGTTATATGTAAGCTAGGTTTACTTGGGGTGTGTGCGCTTGGTCCTCACAACTGAGTTGTCTACCTGGCCCGTGGCCTGGAGGCAAAGAGGGGAATGTATGAGAGTATAGTTTTACCAACGCTCTTATATGGGTGTGAAGCGTGGGTGATGAATGTTGCAGCGAGGAGAAGGCTGGAGGCAGTGGAGATGTCATGTCTGAGGGCAATGTGTGGTGTGAATATAATGCAGAGAATTCGTAGTTTGGAAGTTAGGAGGAGGTGCGGGATTACCAAAACTGTTGTCCAGAGGGCTGAGGAAGGGTTGTTGAGGTGGTTCGGACATGTAGAGAGAATGGAGCGAAACAGAATGACTTCAAGAGTGTATCAGTCTGTAGTGGAAGGAAGGCGGGGTAGGGGTCGGCCTAGGAAGGGTTGGAGGGAGGGGGTAAAGGAGGTTTTGTGTGCGAGGGGCTTGGACTTCCAGCAGGCATGCGTGAGCGTGTTTGATAGGAGTGAATGGAGACAAATGGTTTTTAATACTTGACGTGCTGTTGGAGTGTGAGCAAAGTAACATTTATGAAGGGATTCAGGGAAACCGCCAGGCCGGACTTGAGTCCTGGAGATGGGAAGTACAGTGCCTGCACTCTGAAGGAGGGGTGTTAATGTTGCAGTTTAAAAAATGTAGTGTAAAGCACCCTTCTGGCAAGACAGTGATGGAGTGAATGATGGTGAAAGTTTTTCTTTTTCGGGCCACCCTGCCTTGGTGGGAATCGGCCGGTGTGATAAAAAAAAAAAAAAATATATATATATATATATATATATATATATATATATATATATATATATATATATATATATATATATATATATATATATATATATATATATAATATATATACATATACATACATACATACATACATACATACATACATACAAGGTATGATGTAGCACGTAATGAAAGTAGTTTGTTAGATTATGTATTGGTGGATAAAAGGTTGATGGGTAGGCTCCAGGATGTACATGTTTATAGAGGGGCAACTGATATATCGGATCATTATTTAGTTGTAGCTACAGTTAGAGTAAGAGGTAGATGGGAAAAGAGGAAGGTGGCAACAACAAGTAAGAGGGAGGTGAAAGTGTATAAACTAAGGGAGGAGGCAGTTCGGGTGAGATATAAGCGACTATTGGCAGAAAGGTGGGCTAGTGTAAAGATGAGTAGTGGGGGGTTGAAGAGGGTTGGAATAGTTTTAAAAATGCAGTATTAGAATGTGGGGCAGAAGTTTGTGGTTATAGGAGGGTGGGGGCAGGAGGAAAGAGGAGTGATTGGTGGACTGATGAAGTAAAGGGTGTGATAAGAGAGAAAAAGGTAGCTTACGAGAGGTTTTTACAAAGCAGAAGTGTTATAAGAAGAGCAGAGTATATGGAGAGTAAAAGAAAGGTGAAGAGAGTGGTGAGAGAGTGCAAAAGGAGAGCAGATGAAAGAGTGGGAGAGGCACTGTCAAGAAATTTTAATGAAAATAAGAAAAAATTTTGGAGTGAGTTAAACAAGTTAAGAAAGCCTAGGGAAAGTATGGATTTGTCAGTTAAAAACAGAGTAGGGGAGTTAGTAGATGGGGAGAGGGAGGTATTAGGTAGATGGCGAGAATATTTTGAGGAACTTTTAACCCTTTGTGGGTCGACAGGCCCTCTCCGAAACTCGTTCTCAGGGTCGGCCAAATTTAAAAAGAAAAAAAAATTATTTTCTCTTATGAAAAGATAGAGAATCTTTTCCCGATCATAGCGACACCAAAAGTTTGAAATTTGATAGAAAACTTACGGAATTATGCTCTCGCAAAGTTAGCGGTCTCGGCGATGTTTACGGATCGGCGATTTTGCCCAATTTGAGCCCCATTTTCGGCCAATTTCACTGTACTAGTCGACAAAAAACATGAATATTTCGCTAGAACTCCATTTTTTCTATCGAATGGGTGCAAGAAACCACCCATTTATGAATTCAAACTATCCAGTACAGTGTCAGAATTTAGCAATTTTGCCAATTTCACACAAATTTCATAAGATGCCAATTTCGGAATAGGGTCCAGAATAAACAAGAAAGACATTCCTGGCACTAAAATGACATTTCCTCTAGTCATTAGTCACGTCTCAAGGCCCCTCTTATATTCTTTTGCTTTCCACTTTGAATTTTTATTCTCACAAAAAATATAAGATTTACTGTTATGCAGACTACTGCATTAGTGTAAAAAATGGTATAAATATTATTGGGTGCACTTGTGAAAGAATATTAGACTCACCAGTTGACGTGTATTGCACGCTTGGCATGATTTGTTTACTTTTGAAGTTTGGTAAAAATCGAACATTCTGCTACTTTGAGCTCAAATTTCAAGCACCTTTCATTGTAAAACCAGTCAAAATCATCTAAATTTTTCAGTAATATATCTTCCATTCTATAAAATGAGACCAAGAAAACTAGAATACAACAATAAATACTATACGAAAATACACTGCAAAGTCGCTGATTTATTAAAAAAAAATGGAAAAAGTTTTTTTTTTCTCATTATGCACCGTGTGCTGCAGGATTTTTTTTAGACTGTGCACACTGACCACATAGACCCATTCTTTCATATGAAGGCCTACCAGCTTTCTCCCACTAGATTTGAGGTCGCTAGAATTTATGAGTACTAGTACGTCAAAAACCCCTACGCGTAAGACGTACTAGTACGACGAAAACCCTCAAAGGGTTAAATGTTAAGGAAGAAAGGGAGGCAGTAATTTCATGCACTGGCCAGGGAGGTATACCATCTTTTAGGAGTGAAGAAGAGCAGAATGTAAGTGTGGTGGAGGTACATGAGGCATTACGTAGAATGAAAGGGGGTAAAGCAGCTGGAACTGATGGGATCATGACAGAAATGTTAAAAGCAGGGGGGGATATAGTGTTGGAGTGGTTGGTACTTTTGTTTAATAAATGTATGAAAGAGGGGAAGGTACCTAGGGATTGGCGGAGAGCATGTATAGTCCCTTTATATAAAGGGAAAGGGGACAAAAAAGATTGTAAAAATTATAGAGGAATAAGTTTACTGAGTATACCAGGAAAAGTATACGGTAGGGTTATAATTGAAAGAATTAGAGGTAAGACAGAATGTAGAATTGCGGACGAACAAGGAGGTTTCAGAGTGGGTAGGGATGTGTAGATCAAGTGTTTACATGAAGCATATATGTGAACAGTATTTAGATAAAGGTAGGGAAGTTTTTATTGCATTTATGGATTTAGAAAAGGCATATGATAGAGTGGATAGAGGAGCAATGTGGCAGATGTTGCAAGTATATGGAATAGGTGGTAAGTTACTAAATGCTGTAAAGAGCTTTTATGAGGATAGTGAGGCTCAGGTTAGGGTGTGTAGAAGAGAGGGAGAATACTTCCCGGTAAAAGTAGGTCTTAGACAGGATGTGTAATGTCCACCATGGTTGTTTAATATATTTATAGATGGGGTTGTAAAAGAAGTAAATGCTAGGGTGTTCGGGAGAGGGTGGGATTAAATTAAAGGGGAATCAAATCAAAATGGGAATTGACACAGTTACTTTTTGCTGAAGATACTATGCTTATGGAGATTCTAAAGAAAAATTAAAAAAAGTTAGTGGATGAGTTTGAGAATGTGTGTAAAGGTAGAAAGTTGAAAGTGAACATAGAAAAGAGTAAGGTGATGAGGGTATCAAATGATTTAGATAAAGAAAAATTGGGGAGGAGGAGTATGGAAGAAGTGAATGTTTTCAGATACTTGGGAGTTGACGTGTCGGCGGATGGATTTATGAAGGATGAGGTTAATCATAGAATTGATGAGGGAAAAAAAAGGGGAGTGGTGCGTTGAGGTATATGTGAGTCAAAAAACGTTATCTATGGAGGCAAAGAAGGGAATGTATGAAAGTATAGTAGTACCAACACTCTTATATTGGGTGTGAAGCTTGGGTGGTAAAAGCAGCAGCGAGGAGACGGTTGGAGGCAGTGGAGATGTCCTGTCTAAGGGCAATGTGTGGTGTAAATATTATGCAGAAAATTCGGAGTGTGGAAATTAGGAGAAGGTGTGGAGTTAATAAAAGCATTAGTCAGAGGGCAGAAGAGGGGTTGTTGAGGTGGTTTGGTCATTTAGAGAGAATGGGTCAAAGTAGAATGACATGGAAAGCATATAAATCTATAGGGAAGGAAAGAGGGGTAGGGTCGTCCTCGAAAGGGTTGGAAAGAGGGGGTAAAGGAGGTTTTGTGGGTGAGGGGCTTGGACTTCCAGCAAGCGTGCATGAGCGTGTTAGATAGGAGTGAATGGAGACGAATGATACTTGGGACCTGACGATCTGTTGGAGTGTGAGCAGGGTAATATTTAGTGAAGGGATTCAGGGAAACCGGTTATTTTCATATAGTCGGACTTGAGTCCTGGAAATGGGAAGTACAATGCCTGCACTTTAAAGGAGGGGTTTGGGATATTGGCAGTTTGGAGGGATATGTTGTGTATCTCTATACGTATATGCTTCTAAACTGTTGTATTCTGAGCACCTCTGCAAAAGCAGTGATAATGTGTGAGTGTGGTGAAAGTGTTGAATGATGATGAAAGTATTTTCTTTTTGGGGATTTTCTTTCTTTTTTTTTGGGTCACCCTGCCTCGGTGGGAGACGGCCGACTTGTTGAAAAAAAAAATATATATATATATATATATCAGCAGATAGCCTCGGTGTGAACCTCCAAATCTTCTGTTATCTCTCTGTTCTGTGTTATACCGAGTAGATGTGTTATCCTACCTTAAATCATTTATAAGGTGAAAGATGTTGTCTTACCTCAACTTATTTCCAGACTAAAGGCTGTTATCCTATCTCACATTTGCAGGCTGAGAGTGCTCTCCTACCAGTGCTCATTTATAGGTTAAAAGTTATCTAATCTCAGCTCATTTACAGACTGTTATCCTATCAAAGCTCATTTACAGGTTAAGAGCTGTTATCCTACCTCATCTCATTTTTAAGCTGAGAGTTGTTATCCTGCCTTGGCTCATTTGCATGCTAAGAGCTACTGCCCTGCCTGAGCTGTTATCCTATATCATTTCATTAGCAGGCAGGGTGCTGTTATCCTGCCTCAGCTCAGTGACACGAAAACACTTGTTATCCTTCCTTAGTTTAGTCTCTGGATCAGCAGGGATTCCTGGATCAAAGCTCATTCTCATTTCCTAGGCTCTGTGCGGCCCCTATGACTTTAGCGCTTTCTCATGAATATTAATAATTTGAAATAAGCAAATGTATTATACAATAATGAATCCAGTTTGTAGAGTCAGCAAAAAATTACAATACAGCCTCTCCTCATTTAATGACAGAGTTGCTTTCCTGAGACCACATCGGCAAATGAATTCATCACTAAGTGAGGAGCATACTATAATGGTAGTGGGTTTGTGTCAACCATTTTTTATATTGTTTTAATATCACCTTTGTATGTATCATTTATAACATTTTCAGTATATTTTTAAATGTTTGTACAGTAGTGTACTGTATATTGTAATAAACAGAATAGAGGAAATCAACCCTAATATACATTACAGCCTTTCCTCACTTAACAATGGTGATAGGGACCTAAGACCCCATCGGTAAACAAATTCGTCACTAAGTGAGGAGCATACTATAATGGTAGTGGATTTGTGTCACCCGTCTTTGATATTATTTTAATGTCACCTTTACACGATTTATAACATTTCTGGTATATTTTTAAATGTTTATACAGCAGTGTACTGTATATTGTAATAAACAGAATTGAAGAAATAAACTCTAATATACATTATTTAGGTATAAATGCTGGTCAGAGAACCCGTCGTAAGTCTGAGACATCGGTAAATGAATACGTCGCTAAGTAAGGAGAGGCTGTATTTAGGTATGCATACTGATCAGAAAGCCTGTTGTAAGTCTGAGTCATCGGTAAACGAGTACATCACTAAGTGAAGAGATGCTGTATATTGTACAAATGAGAATTTTCTTGATTGTACAATGGTACCCCGAGTTTCGTACAGCTCCCAACTCGAACAATTATGTAAGTGTATTATTGTAAGTGCTTTTGTGAGTGTATTTTTGGGGTCTGAAACGGACTAATCTAATTACATTATTCCTTATGGGAACAAATTCGTTCAGTAACAGCACTCAAACAGCCTTCTGGAATAAATTATGGCCGAAACTCTGGGTACCACTGTATACAACTCTCAGTTACAGCCTCTCCTCACTTAGTGACGTTCTCATTTACTGATGGCTCGGACTAACGACAGGCTTTCTGACCAGTATTCTTACCTAAATAATGCAAGGTAGTCAAGATGGAGGTTTATAAGAAGAATAATCTTGAAGTTACACATAATAAAACAGTATTACAATTAATGGTTCAAGCAGTAATATGTCATGGATTGGCAGATGTTTAATAGACTAGAGGTTATAATACTAGGTAGTAGGTTGGTAGACAGCAACCGCCCAGGGAGGTACTACCGTCCTGCCAAGTGAGTGTAAAACTGAAGCCTGTAATTGTTTTACACGATGATAAGATTGCTGGTGTCTTTTTTTTATCTGTCTCATACACATGCAAGATTTCAGGTATGTCTTGCTACTTCTACTTACACTTAGGTCACACTACACATACATGTACAAGCATATATATACACACTCCTTTGGGTTTTCTTCTATTTTCTTTCTAGTTCTTGTTCTTGTTTATTTCCTCTTACCTCCATGGGGAAGTGGAACAGAATTCTTCCTCCGTAAGCCATGCGTGTTGTAAGAGGCGACTAAAATGCCGGGAGCAAGGAGCTAGTAACCCCTTCTCCTGTATATATTACTAAATGTAAAAGGAGAAACTTTCGTTTTTCCTTTTGGGCCACCCCGCCTCGGTGGGATACGGCCGGTGTGTTGAAAGAAAGAAAGGTTATAATACAACTGATTAGAAGTTGTTTTGGTTGGTTTGGTTAGTATTGAGAGATGAGATGATTTTTAAGCAGAGTCCTGAATTTATAAGTAATCATTATTATTATTATAATCAAAAAAGAAGCGCTAAGCCACAAGGACTATACAGCTATAAGTAATCAGAGGATCCTTTACCACTTCAGGAAGTGAATTCCAGATCTTTGGGCCCTTCATGTACATTGCATTTTTGCATAGTGTGAGACTGACAAGAGGGATGTAGTAACAGTAGTAGTAGTAGTAGTACTAGTACTATTAATACTACTACTGCTACTAAATAGCCTCTTGATGCTTTCCACTTAACTCCTGCCAGTATACATACTTGGTCTTAGTTATCTCTATATTAGCACTGAGGAAGCCACTCATTTTCTCTAATAAATGTCCTGAACTGTACACAAGTGTCTTTTTCCACATCTTAGCAGTATCACCATAACATTTTTCATCATTTCTGTATTAGTATATAACTGTCAGTTCTCAGAGTGATTCCCCGACATGAATCAAGTTCATTTTAATGTCGTCATCTACAAGAGTTACGGGTTGTATACGCTTTTGTTGAACATTTCGGTCTTTTTAGAGCTTTATAAAGTTCACTTTGCACATAGCGAAACGCTATCCCAATAAAAACTTGATTTTTTCTTCATTATTGTCGTCAGAATGTCATGTAGATCTCATGTGAGATTGTCGTCTTCATGTAGCATGTGAGAAGTGTTGACCTGGCATTTCGTGTAGCAATGTCCACAACTTTCCTTGCTTAAACTATTGATCTGATAGAGCATTATCTGTTTTGTGTTGTAGAAATGTTGTTTTAAGTGTTGTTTTGTGTTGTAGAAGTGTTGTTTAGTGTGAGTTTATGTAGCGTTGTTCTTGCAGTGTAAAGTGTCTGTAGTAGTATCCTAATGGTGTGAAGTTTGTAGTTTTGTTCATGTAAAGTTTACGTAGTGTTGTTCTTGGAATTTAGAGAGCTCATGTAGTGCTGGTCTAACTTTACCAACTGCTTGTGCTAGATCTATCAGCTGTAATCAGACTTGTACCAGCTGAGGTGCTGTTTGCATACCCACGGCTTATCCTGTGAGCAGTAGTGCAGATACGGGGTTACAGAGGTCACCATGATCTTTTTATCAGATCCCACTGAGTTTAGTTGCATCTTTTAGATATTACAGCTGTAGTAACTGCATATCCTGGTATGATAGCTGTTGTAACGACATACATGGCTGCAGTAGTGTATAATGGTGGTAATAGTTGTGTTGGCTTAAGTAACTACACATCTTGGCTCTGGTAATTGTGTGTAGTGGTTGCAGTAACTACATGTCCTGTAGAAACTTACACAGGTGTACTCATACTGCATGAACTGGGTGTACCGCAGTGGCAAACTGCTTTCACCATGGCCTGTTCCCCAGCAACAGCGTGCGTCCCTACTCCCGTAGTGCTGGCAGTCGACGCGATGGCAAGGAGCTTATCCAGTGCCCGACGCCCGGCTGTGATGGAATGGGACACGTTACCGGAAACTACGCCACGCACCGCAGGTTAGTGTACCCCCCCGTAATGTGAAGGCACACACTCTGCTCACTGGATCCTTGGGGGGTGTGCCTAGGTGTGACCTCAACTCATTCAGTCCTACATAACTGTTTGTTGTAAGTAAGTAGGGCGAAAAGTGCAGGAGATACGGTCAAGGGCTCCTCTCTTTCTCTCTCTAAACCTGTTATTAATATATTCATTAGAAAGCTCTATATCAGAGCCAAACAGCACCTGGAAAATGGGAGGCATTTAAAATTGATACCAGAAAGGAAGGATAGCTTCAACTCTATGGATGAAGAGATTTTAAACAGCTTCAAAACCACCTCTTGAGGGGTCTCTGAGCTTGCAAGTTTGCTAAATTTATGGACCTCTAAGTGGCTGTCCAGCGCCTTGCTAATCCCAAAGTCCCTATCTCATATTTCTCATAAACATGACCAAGGGTGGTGGGCAGACGAGTGGGACTTTAATCTTCATGTGTGTGTATGAACGTGAACACTCATTGTGTCTTGAGATTACCTCAGTTCCATTACCTGGTGACCTGTGCCGCTCAGAAATAGGTTGCCTTGTCGACCGGTCCTCGAGCAAGGACATAGTTACTCACTCATAGTTATATACCCCGAGTAATGTGTATACAAGTCGACCACGAGATAGGAAAGTATACCTCGTTATGATTATACATTTGTGACCCAACTGGGTATTTAAAAGTAACTGGAAATATAACACAGAATTTAACCAAATTAGAAATCTTAGCTATTTTAAGTAAGAAACACACTATTGGACTTGCTGTAATGCGCTATTATCTCTGCCATCGTACCTGCAAGTATACACACCTTACTCAACTCACAGTTCTTAATTAAAATTACTAGTGCTGTGAGATGTATTTACTTTCAACTAAAATCAGCCGCTGGAGTAAAAATTAATGTTGCATTGAGTAACTTTACGACAGGCATGAGAATGTGGCCCAGATTAACTGTATCTCCTACACTTAAATTGAACATCGAATTAACTTCTATTTTATGTGTATAACTTGACACGTTTTCATGTTGGTAAAGTATATTGTCTAAGTTAAGTGAAAGAATAGACTTTCAATATTTTCTCAGTTGACTGGCTTACCCACTCTAGGTCACCTCTTTTAATTGTGGATCTGACCAGTTATTAATATTCATCATGAGAAAGCAAAAGAAATACTTGAAATTTAAGTGTCATTAGAAGTTGCTGGTAGCATATGTGGGTGTGAGGGTAGAATCTTTGGTTGTAAATGTAACTGTAAAACAATGGCATCCTCGTTCAAAGCAGCAGCACATTAGCAGCTTGGCTGGTTTTCTCAAGATGACACTAAAGTAACTAGAGTGATGTGCCTTCTTCTTACGGGTGGCTGGGAAATTGTGCAAAAAAAACAAAAAATGTCTTGGTTTATCTTAGGAAGCCTTGATAAATATTTAGTGGTTGTTAATGTGATTGTTAGAATTAGAGAGCGCTCAGCACCCTGTCATACAGCATTAGTGAACTTCAACAATCCCTGTGCAGTCATACCAGCCCACCCGTGCTCTACCCAACCACCCATCGTATGTAACCTATTGCACACAGTCTTGGTCAAAAAAATCTTCACCTGGCCAAGTCTATCCTCGCCCCACCATCCAGCCTGTCCGGATGTCCCCGCGCGGATCGTTCGAGTATCCAGCACCAGACTCAAGAGTTGAAGTGTCCCACGCCCGGGTGTGACGGGTCGGGTCATGTGACTGGCAATTACTCCTCCCACCGCTCACTCTCCGGCTGCCCCAGAGCCAACAAACCCAAGCACAAACCAAAGGACACTCAGGACTCTGAACCCCTCCGGTGAGTGCCATACCCTTCACCTTATCATCTCAAGTTAAGGTTAACTCACACGAACTTAATGGTATTGTGGAACTCGGGTGTGGCTGTTTTAAAACACTGGGTGCACTTGTAAAGTAATACAGTAATGGGGAAACTATTTTTGTTCTGTAGAAATACTAATTTTCCACTACGTAATACATTCACTGCCAAAGTTTCACAATCACAAATTCTAGTTCGTAGTTTGTGTGTGTGTGTGTTGCTGTGTATGTACCCGCTTTTGTTGGTTGCCTTCTGAGGAGCAGACCCCTTCCAGCTGACACAGTGGCTTGGATCCACGGCTCAACATCTTGGATTTGTGTTATACTGACACTCCCGTCTTGGATCTATGGCTTAAAAATACCAAGCTTGGATCCATGTCTGAATGGTGCACCCCCTTCAATCCAGACCCCTAGTTATATTCTAGCCTCGAAGATCATGTTTTGTGATTCTCGATGCTTGGATCTATGTTTAAAATATAAGCTAAGCTCAGACCTTTGTTCTTCCTGATATTAAGCTTGACCGACATCTTAAAATGCTTCTTTTACGTGTGATGCCCATCTAAGGTATGATTTCGTATCTTAATGAAGCTTGAATCTTGGATTCAAGACACTTGTGCCCGAGACTAAACCCATATCCTAGCCATGCTGTAGACTTAGATCTACACCTCACGACTAAATTCACAAGTTCACAGTTGTGACCTTAAGAAAGCATGAGCCTGGTTAGTGATGTGTTTCATGTTATGGCCCCTCACTGTTGACAACGCCTGCATGTACAGTACAATGAATCTAAAGAAAAGTAATGAACTATTAATTTTCTGAGATGTAATTGTAGAGGTGTTTGTAGTAGAGGAGCACTGTGAGCACTGTGACACCTCAGGCGGTGGTGAGTGAGCACTGATCCAGGTCACAACTAATTCACAGACTGGAAATGATAGCTAAATGATGATATATTGGTTCTGGACTCGGTAATGGCCCAGAATGGACAGAGAGTCGTTCAGTTTTCCTTTTCAGTCTCTGGGGTACTTGTGAGTGGTTTAAATCACGGTGTTGTGACTTCTGGTCTTACTTCAAGCTTCACCGTCAGCTGTTGGGGGTCTTGCCCTTCACTGTGTTTATAAAGTTGGTGTATGGGAGGCCCAATGTTACTGAAACCCAGTCATCCATGGATAGACCAATTTTCTCAAAAATCAGTAATATAATCTCAGTTTTGCCTTACTCTTTAAATATTAAAGATCAAAATGGTGCTGCGCCAGATTGTAGAGCCATATAGATATTTAGTCATCAGTGTGCCAGGGAGCGAGACGGGGGTGACCCCGCCCGTCCCCATGAAGCGCTGCTCTTGCCCCACTCACCTCACATGACCTCACTGACCGCCATTGTGCTGCCCTTAGCTGTCCAGTCCCTGGATGTGATGGGTCGGGGCACTCCACGGGCAAGTTTCTCAGTCACAGGAGGTAAGAAGGCCTGAGCTTACGGGAGCCAGAATCAGACACCACTTGAGGCCTTGACTTCCACTTGTCTGCCACATACATGACGCTAACGTCACCCCAAGTGTTGCCGTCACATTAACACCCATCGTCACGTTCACTGGCAGTAACGTCATAAAGGAAGAGCAAAGAAGCTGATAAAGAGCCTCTTTCATGTGCTTGTCTTAAAGAAGCCAGTCGTTGTGGAGTAGAGTAATGATGTGACGTGTATGTGAAGGAGCCAGACGGTGGTGGTGCCTCCATCTGACCTCAAGTGGAGTTGAGCCACTGGATCCCACTTACTAGTAACAACATGCTAGTGCCCCTTATCGGACATACTGCATGCTAAGCTGAGACATAAGTAGCCAGCAATTTGGTAATACTGAGTGTGTAGTAGTGGGCGCCGCTGGTCAGGTGGCAGACTAACTTGCCCTGGTGTGTATCCCCCAGTGCCTCGGGCTGTCCCATCGCCAACCGCAACAAGATGCGCTCCCTCGAGGGGGGCAGGGGGGCTGGGCTGGGCATGGGCATGGGCGTCTCCACTGGGTTTGCTGCCATGGGTGAACCTCGGCCTCCACTCCTAGCGGCGCCTTACTCCACGGGCGGCCCCACAGGTCCTCCCGCGGCTGCCCACAGCCTCTTGGCCCGCCCACTACTCCATCAGCTGCAGCCCCCACCAAGCAAGAAACTCAGAATGGATGACTCCTCCCTGGTCTTCAAGACAGGTGTGTCCTGCATGATGTTATGCTTATATCTACTCTAACATGACCCACACTGCTCTGACATGGCTCACACTGATCTAACATGGTGCATACTGATCTAACATGACCCACACTGCTCTAACACAGTTCACACTGTTCTAACAATGGCCATATTACTCTAACAATGCCCACACAGCTCAAACACGTTCTGCACTGCTGTAACATGACCTGCACTGCTCTAACACAGTCTATACTCCTCTATATATCCCATACTGTTTTAACATGATCCACACTGCTTAACATGGTGCATACTGCTCTAACACGACCCACACTTCAGTAACACGGTCTACACTAAACTGACATCACGGCCTACACTGTTCTAACATCACAGCCCACACTACTCTAACACGGCCCACACTGCTTTAAGAACATAAGAAAGAAGGAACACTGCAGCAGGCCTACTGGCTCCTGCATGGCAGATCCAAGTCACCCACTGGCCCAAACCTAGTCAGGGCAGGTCACATCCACTTAAGGAAGGATCATGGCATCAGTCCCATCAACACAAGCTAGTCAGGTCCAACTCACACCAACCCACACCCACTCATGTATTTATCTAACCTATTTTTAAAAGGACACAACGTTTTAGCTTCTACAGTGTTACTTGGGAGTTTGTTCCACTCATCCACAACTCTATTGCCAAACCAGTGCTTTCCTATATTCTTCCTGAACCTGAATTTTTTCAATTTAAAACCATTACTGCGAGTCCTGTCTCGGCTACATATTATTAGCACATTATTTACATCCCCTTTATTTATTCCTGTTTTCCATTTGTACACCTCAGTCATATCCCACCTAATTCTATGCCTATGAGTGAAGATTCAGGGCCTCAGTCTATCCTCATAGGAAAGATTTCTAATACATGGGATCAACTTTGTTATCCACAACTCTATTGCCAAACCAGTGCTTTCCTATATTCTTCCTGAACCTGAATTTTTTCAATTTAAAACCATTACTGCGAGTCCTGTCTCGGCTACATATTATTAGCACATTATTTACATCCCCTTTATTTATTCCTGTTTTCCATTTGTACACCTCAGTCATATCCCACCTAATTCTATGCCTATGAGTGAAGATTCAGGGCCTCAGTCTATCCTCATAGGAAAGATTTCTAATACATGGGATCAACTTTGTTATCCTCCTTTGTACGTTTTCCAGAGCATTTATATTCATTCTGTAATATAGTGACCAGAACTGTACAGGATAGTCCAAATGAGGCCTAACCAAAGATATATAGAGTTGAACAACCTGAGGACTTGTATTATTTATACTTCTTGATATGAAGCCAAGGATTCTGTTAGCTTTGTTGCGAACACTTATGCACTGTTGTCTTGGTTTTAGATTACTGCTAACCAGAACTCCTAAATCCTTTTTCACAAATAGTAATATTAAGATATACATTATTTAGTTTATATGTGGCATGGCTATTTTCCTGTCCAACACTTAGAACTTTGCATTTGTCTATATTAAAATGCATCTGCCACTTCTCCGACCACTGAACCAGTCTATTCAAACCATACCCCCGGCCGGGATTGAACCCGCGGTCATAGTCTCAAAACTCCAGCAATCGTGTCATTACGATTTCTTGAGTCAGTCTATTCAAGTCTTCCTGGAGTGCTCTAATGTCCTCATTAGAATGAACTGGACGGCCTATTTTGGTGTCATCAGCAAACCTGCTTATGTCGTTATTTATTCCCTCATCTATGTTGTTTATGTAAATTGTGAACAACAAAGGTCCCAGCACTGACCCTTGTGGAACACCGCTCTTCTCTAACGACCCACACTGCAATAACACAACCAACACTGCAACTGCTCTGACATAGACCACACTGTTCTAACACAGACCTCACTGCTCTAACATGGACCACACTGCTCTGACATGGACCACACTGCTCTAACACGGACCACACTGCACTAACATAGACCACACTGCTCAAACATAGACCACACTGCTCTAACATAGACCACACTGCTCTAACATAGACCACACTTCTCTAACATGACCCACACTGCTCTAACATGACCCACACTTCTCTAACATGACCCACACTTCTCTAACATGACCCACACTGCTCTAACATGACCCACAATACTGACATGACCCACACTCCTCTAACACAATCCACACTGCTCTAACATGGACCACACTGCTCTAACATGACCCACACTACTCTCAAATAGACCACACTGCTCTAACATGACCCACACTACTCTCAAATAGACCACACTGCTCTAACGTAGACTACACTGCTCTAACATAGATCACACTGCTCCAACATAGACCACACTGCTCTAACATGACCCACACTGCTCTAACATGACCCACACTGCTCTAACATGACCCACACTGCTCTAACATGACCCACAATGCTCTGACATGAGTCACACTGCTCTTACATGACCCACACTACTCTCAAATAGACCACACTGTTCTAACATAGACTACACTGCTCAAACATAGATCACACTGCTCCAACATAGACCACACTGCTCTAACATGACCCACACTGTTCTAACATAGACCACACTGCTCTAACATGACCCACACTGCTCTAACATAGACTACACTTCTCTAACATGACCCACACTGCTCTAACATGACCCACACTGCTCTAACATAGACCACACTGCTCTAACACTGTCCACACAGCACTAACATGACCCACACTGCTCTAACACGGTCGACACTGCTTTAACATGACCTACACTGCTCTAACACAGTGCTGTGCTAATACAGTCCAACATAGTACTATATATAGCGTAATTCACACTACTCTGAACCAACACATACATATCTTAAATGGCCCTAACACTGCTCCTAACACGGCATACAGTGCTCCTAACATGGCTTATACTGCTCCTAAAACGGCTTACACTGCTCCTAACGGCTTACACTGCTCCTAACACGGCTTACACTGCTCCTAACACGGCTTACACTCTCCCAACACGGCTTACGCTGCACCTAACACGGCTTACACTGCCCCTACCATGGCGTACAATGCTCCTAACACGGCAAACAATGCTCCTAACACAGCCTACACTGTCCCTAACATGGCTTACAATGCTCCTAACACGGCTTACACTGCCCCTAACACGGCTTACACTGCTCCTAACACGGCTTACAACGCTCATAACACAGCTTACACTGCTCCTAACACGGCATACAATGCTCCTAACACGGCTTACAACGCTCCCAACACAGCTTACACTGCCCCTAACACAGCTTACACTGCTCCGAACACGGCATACAATGCTCCTAACACGGCTTACAACGCTCCTAACACGGCTTACACTGCTCCTAACACGGCATACAATGCTAACACGGCTTACACTGCCCCTAACACGGCTTACACTGCTCCTAATATGGCTTACACTGTCCCTAACACGGCTTACAACGCTCCTAACGCGGCTTACACTGCTCCTAACATGGCGTACAATGCTAACACGGCTTACACTGCCCCTAACACGGCTTACACTGCTCCTAACACGGCTTACACTGCTCCTAACACGGCTACACTGCTCCTAACACGGCTTACTGCCCTACACAGCTTACAATGCTCCTAACACGGCTTACACTGCTCCTAACACGGCTTACACTGCCCCTAACACAGCTTACACTGCCCCTAACACAGTTTACACTGCTCCTAACATGGCTTACACTGCCCCTAACACAGCTTACACTGCCCCTAACACGGGTTACACTGCTAACACGGCTTACACTGCCCCTAACACAGCTTACACTGCCCCTAACATGGCTTACACTGCTAACACGGCTTACACTGCTCCTAACACGGCTTACACTGCCCCTAACACAGCTTACACTGCCCCTAACACGGCTTACACTGCTCCTAACACGGCTTACACTGCTCCTAACACGGCTTACACTGCTCCTAACACAGCTTACACTGCCCCTAACACAGCTTACACTGAACCTAACACAGCATACACTGCCCCTAACATGGCTTACACTGCCCCTAACACAGCTTACACTGCTCCTAACACGGCTTACACTGCCCCTAACACAGCTTACACTGCCCCTAACATGGCTTACACTGCCCTTAACACAGGTTACACTGCCCCTAACACGGCTTACACTGCCCCTAACACAGCTTACACTGCCTCTAACACGGCTTACACTGCCCCTAACACAGCTTACACTGCCCCTAACACGGCTTACACTGCCCCTAACACGGCTTACACTGCCCCTAACACGGCTTACACTGCCCCTAACACAGCTTACACTGCCCTGAACACAGCTTACACTGCCCCTAACACAGCTTACACTGCCCCTAACACAGCTTTACACTGCTCCTAACACGGCTTACACTGCCCTAACACAGCTTACACTGCCCCTAACACGTTACACTCCCCTAACAGCTTAACTGCCCCTAACACAGCTTACACTGCCCCTAACAGCTTATACTGCCCCTAACACAGCTTACACTGCCCCTAACAGCTTATACTGCCCCTAACACAGCTTACACTGCCCCTAACACGCTTACACTGCCCTAACACGGTTTTACACTGCCCCTAACACGGCTTACACTGCCCCTAACACGGCTTACACTGCCCCTAACACAGCTTACACTGCCCTGAACACAGCTTACACTGCCCCTAACACAGCTTACACTGCCCCTAACACAGCTTACACTGCCCCTAACACGGCTTACACTGCCCCTAACACGGCTTTACATCTGCCCTAACACAGCTTACACTGCCCCTAACGCTTATGCCAACACAGCTTACACTGCCCCTAACAGCTTATACTGCCCCTAACACAGCTTACACTGCCCCTAACAGCTTACACTGCCCCTAACACGGCTTACACTGCCCCTAACACGGCTTACACTGCCCCTAACACAGCTTACACTGCCCCTAACAGCTTATACTGCCCCTAACAGCTTACATGCCCAACACAGCTTACACTGCCCTAACATGCTTACACTGCCCCTAACACAGCTTACACT